TTTTTTTTTTTTTTTTTTTTTTTGGTCTTATGCATGTGTAAAAGAAAAGCATGTGACGGCGTTTTGCACGGCTGTGGGTGATTGTGTAGGGTAGAAAACGGCAATCCTGCGAGGGCGTGGTAATGATGACATTGCTGGTTGGAGAAGGAAGGAAAACGTTTTCGTGGCGGCTTTGATAGACATCAAACTGATGTGTTTTTGTCCTCGGATGTGGGTTGATCTGGTTTGATCTTCGTTGCTGCTTCTCGCGGATCAGGAAGTCAAGAATGGGGGACTGCTTTTTGTCATCGCCATCTTCGTCTCCTCCTACCTCGCCGCCTGTTGGCACCAGCTCAGTTTCTTCGCAGCCTTCGTCTCCTGCCAGCAGTGCAGATGACAATCAATGGGAACTGGCGGAGGTCCCTGAGTGGGTCGCAGCGGCCAGCGCGATGAGGGGAGGGGGAGGGGGAGGGGGAGGGGGAGGAAGTGACTGCAACGGGGTGGCGACGGGAAGCGGGAGGATCGCGTCGATGGCGAGGTCCACTGAAGGAGCAAAGGGAGGAGAAGGAAAAAGAGAGAAAATGAATGACCGAGCAAAAGGGGATGTGAATGGGATGGGAGATTTGAACGGTGGAGGGGTGGGAGAAGGTGGTGGTGGTGGTTTCGATGGTCATGGAGGTTGCAGATGGGGGGCCGGTGAGGGAGGAGGTTGGGGTGGCGGCAACAGAAGGGGTACTGAGGAAGAGGTTTATGACGACGGGGAGGAGAGCGAGGAGATGTCATCGGCATCAACGATGGATATCACGGATGATCTGCTGCACAAGGTATGGCTGAGTGGATGGCCAACATCTTCAGGAACACGGCTCCTGCCCTATGCTGTCCCCGTTCTTCTTTGTGTTTCAAATCTTCCTTGTGCCGCCTGTTATTGTGCTGTAGGTACATCTCTGTCTGTCTTTGAGCCTGGATGTCCCTCCGTGATGCTGGTTATATATTCTTTTATTGTTTTCTCTTTTTAAGGTCGATCTATCTGTTTTTGGGCGGAATGTCTCCATGATGTGGGTTACATTGCATTGCTTTTTTTTAAGCTGGTCGATCTGTGTCTTTTGGCTGTTTACCTCTGTGATGTTTGTCTTACTGCCTCTTTTTTTTTTCTCGTTCAAATCTCTCTCTCTCTCTGTCTCTCTCTTTTTGCGGCTGAATGTATCTCCATTCTGTTGGTTATAGTGCATTTTAAAGTTGCCTGTCAGAAAGGTTTGGACTTTGAACGAAAGGCCTCGGACCTTTTTGGGTGGCCTTGCATTGCTTTTTTTTCCACTGGTCGATCTGTGTCTTTTGGCTGTGTACCACCGTAATGGTGGTTTTACTGCCTCTTTTTTTCCCTTCCAATTTCGATCTCTCTCACTTTTTGTGAGAGAGAGTACCCTCCGTTCTGTTGGTTGTAGAGCATTTTAATGTTTTGCTTGTTGGTTGTAGAGCATTTTAATGTTTTGCTTGTTAGAAAGGTTTGGACTTTGAACGAAAGGCGTCGGACCTTTTTTTGCATGGCCTCTCCCGTGCAGGTGTTCTCGTTTCTCGATTATGTGGGGTTGTGCAATGCAGCACGAGTTTGCAAGCAGTGGAGAATTGCCAGCAGTCATGAAGATTTCTGGCGTACTCTCAATTTCGAGAATAAACGTATTACGCTGTCTCAAGGTATTTTCCGTCCGACATTGGTGGCCTACGCGTGCCCGGTACTTGTTCATACTCCCATCATGTTTGAAGTCCCGTTTGTCCGTCCCACTGCCTTGGACACTCTTCTTGTACCTCTGAATCCACTGATCTCTAAGATTGAGAGACACTGTTGTCAAGGCTATGGATGTGTGGCGTTCCGTGCTGCTGCTGAGTCTGGATGTGTGCCAGTGGTATGTATTGACGGTACGGTAAAATGTGTGAATACTACAGCAGTGATGGCCGAGTAATAGCTTTATTCGATGCTTGTGCTTGCTACTGTTTGATATCGCAGATCATGTTCTACCGGATTTTCCTGTGTCTTTTCAATTGTCTCGCAAATGTAGAACTCCTTACTTCAGGTGTTACTTTTTTGTTGTTGTTCTAAACGCAAAAGACCGTTCAGCCCCTCCTATTCTGGGGGGTGTCAGGCCGGTTGCTTATCACCGTCAAGCATGATCAGATAAAAAGTAAGTGAAGGAGAAATAGAGGGTTTTGGGAGCATGGGAACCCGTGGCCCCTAGACGGCCTGTCAGCGCACTCCGACCCTCCCAAGAGCCATGGTTCCCTGTCCTCCGCTCATCCTGGTTCCCAGTCAGTGCAACACGCTTGCATGCGGGGAGTCGAGTGTCATGGGCTGCGGGCCCGGGGAGGGTGGAGTTCCCACCCTCGGAGACTTATCCTACCTGGAGACTTATCCTACCTAGCAGAAACTTACAGCCTCCGATAATTTCCGATTATTCCCCTCACCCTTCCCCTTACCATTCCCTTGCTAATGACTCCCACTTACGGTATTGTGGGATTGTATGGAGTACAATCCATCGCCATTTCTGTTGAAGCTTGATACCTATACTATGCCTTTCAAACACTTTCTGCGCTGACACCAGCTAGTTCTCTTTTCATGTCCTTTCAGTACCTCCTGGCGCAACCTCTGGCGACCCTTGTCAAATCCCGCTTGTATGGGAATGCAGATATTTTCTTTTGTGCAGGCCATGACATGGGGCAGGATGAATCCTCGGGGAAATTTTGGAATTTTGGCAGCGTCGTTCCACCTATCCTCGGGGACTTCCCGCGGCGGCCAATTTATATGATTTTATGCGGTCGCGGGAGGTGTGTCCGTGGTGGTGCGGTTTGGGATGTCAACCTAAGAGGCATGTTGGTCCACAGGTGACGGGCGAGAATACGTGGGGGGGGGGGCGCAAAAAAAAAAGAAAGGTGGGAATGACCCCGTCCAAAATTTGAAATTCGAGTTCTGGCGACAGACGACGGCTAGGTGGCACACAGGCATTCACAGTGCAGCGGCTAGGCAGTGGATATGTTGTTTTCCTCGCCATCCCTTTCACACCATCTCCTTCTCGCCCTGTTGGGTGACGGCGATGGTGTGTTTGGTGATGAGGTCTGTTGCCAGGTCGACTCCTTGAGGGACAGCGTGTGGCAGCTTGGAGCACGAGCTTCGGTGGGCGAAGACCTCCATTGTGACCTCCGTTGTGCCATCATCCGTTCCGGTTGCCCTGAGGATGCGTGAAGCACCATCTCCTTCTCGCCCTGTTGAGTGACGGCGATGGTGTGTTTGGCGATGAGGTCTGTTGCCAGGTTGGCTCCTTGAGGGACAGCGTGTGGCAGCTTGGAGCACGAGCTTCGGTGGGCGAAGACCTCCATTGTGACCTCCGTTATGCCATCATCCGTTCCGGTTGCCCTGAGGACGCGTGAAGTGCAGCTGATGTGGCACGTGGATGTGGAGACGTGCGTACACGTGGAAGCAGGCATGCGTGCGGGTGACCACGTCTTTTCCAAGTCTGTGGGCAATGGAGGTTGGTGGGCCAGATGGGTGTGCGGTGTTGAGGTCCATCGCGGCGGTGCTGGCCGTCGTTGGCCGTTGTCGGGTAGACAGAGCATCAGCCGCATGAAGGCGAAGCTATCGAGGCACAGGCAAAGGATGCTGATACAAAGAGTGGTTGACGCCCCAGACTGTGTGGCACTTTGGAGGCTGTCGTTCAACTGTGCACTGCACTGGGCTCAGGTGTGCTCCCTCGAGCGACGCCAGGATGGCGGATGAAATGGAGAACGGGTGGGACATGCGAAGATCTGCGGGTGTGCGATGATGCGACGGTCACCTGCGTGCTTCCACGTGAACACTTCGGTGACGTGATGACCCCCCCACCCTGCAGGCGGTGTAATGTTAGTCAGCCGTTTGTCCATATTCTGGTCCCCTTCTTCGCCAACTGCCTTGTCTGGTTCCTCTCAGGAAGTCGCCCCAGGAAACACTGGAACATGTCAACTACTAGAAAAGTAGCATGGGGATGAGCAGCAGCAGTGGCAGCCTGCGGTGCAGGTCAGCCATGAATGGCACAAGAGAGCATAGCGTGGGCATGGATCTTGTGGGATGTGCACACAGTGAGGACGCACTACAGTCCAAAACACTCCAAGAGTATGCACTGTCGCCCACATAGCGCCCGCCACCACGACCACAAATTCAAAATTAACGACCGTTGGAGACCCCACCGGAATGCCACGGACCCCAAACGAGGTGGCTGGAAATGACGACACAACCACCGTCATCCAATGCTAACGGTAAACGGACGAGGCCGTTGGAGGATGTCCATGACGTTGAAGACCAACAATGTCCGTCGCCCGGCCCCTGGACCATGATTGGACCACCTTCGGCCTCCAATTTTCCTTCTACGCTCGACACCACGAACCCCAAATGAGGCGGCTGGAAATGAGGACATGCCCTGCCGCCATGGACGGTGTCCATGATGTTGAAGGCCAACAATTTACGTTGCCCGGCTCCTGTACCATGATTGGACCACCTTCGGTCTCCAATTTTCCTTCTATGCTCGACACCAACACCCCGTGAATCGCGGATCCTTGGGCTCCAAAGGACTTTGCGAGGTCCCTTGGAGCCGAGGACGATTTGCCTGGGAAATCCTCGGAGCCCGAGGATTTGTCACATTTTCTTTCGAAACTCGGCTTCGAGGACAGGTGGAACGATGACGAAATCCTTGGAATCACGTCCCCGAGGAGTGTCTAACGACGCCCATGGGCTGTGGAACACTTAGCTTCTGCCCGCACTGCCTCGCTCTGCCCACAACACTGCTGCGTGCACCACTCCCATTATCCTGATGTTATGTTAGTGACTGGCTACCGGTGCAGGCCATGACCTTGGCAGCGGAGCATTTAGCTTCTGCCCGCACTGCCTCGTTTTGCCCACAACACTGCTGCACGCACCAGTTCCAGTGTCCTGATGTTATGTTAGTGACTGGCCTACCGGCAGCCACAACCGACAACTTCTAAATGAGATGGTGTGTTTTTCAAACTTCGGTTATATCTTATATTTTGTTTGATGGTTGACTTGCAATTTTGTTGAATAGAAAAAAGCTCAGCACTGGGAACTTGGAAGTGAGACTGAAGGATAATTTGATTATTAGCACAAATCTTCTTATGAATATAAGCCTTCTTGCTGTAAAATTAGTAGAGCAAAAATTCATACGTACAAGAAGAATGTCCAATCTTTTCTCGTTTAATAATAACAAACCCATTCCTTGCAAAAGGCACGATGTCGAGGGCATTGAAAAATCAGATGTGGAATGTCTTCGACCACCGTATTACAGAGCGCACGAAGTGGGTCCTTCTTGTGCCCTTATAACGGTTGTTCGTGGCTTGCCATCCAAATGTGGTAACAGCCAGATGGGCAACAAGCAAAAGCAAGGCCGCCTGTCTTTGGTCCGTGAGGCCCATGATACATTTACAGAACCGCTCCCAATCCCGATCATTCCACGAGGTGAGGTCTCAGCTTGTGGCTACTCCCTGTGTGAGTTCGGAATGACAGGGCATATCTTTGTCTGTAGGCGTGGATGAGGGTGGGTGGCGTGTTGTGTGTGTGTGTGTGTGTGTGTGTGTGTGTGTGTGTGAGAGAGAGAGAGAGAGAGAGAGAGAGAGAGAGAGAGAGAGAGAGTCCATTGAATGTTCGAAGCAATTGGGGGGACTTCAAGTTATGATCAGTGCAGCACTCTCACGGTCTTTATGGCAGCGCTGGTGGATGATCCTTGAGGGGGCCCACGGCCAGCAAGCCACTTTTCTCTCGTAGTGGTCTACTGTGCAATGTGAGCAGTCACCCGGATAAAGGGCTTGTCATGGTAAAACACAGCGGAAAAAACCCATTGGATGAGCTCCTGGCGAAGGCAGTGGGCTGGTTGTACCCTTGCGGCCCCTTCTGGAAAGGTGAACCCCCTTCTGGAAAGGTGCACCCGCTGGCTCAGTCTGAGCTGGTAGGGATATACGTATGGCTGGCTTTTGCCCAGTCGGTGGGGTGTTGTTCTTGTTTTTATGAGTGTTTATAGAGCTCTGGCCCTGAGAACTGACGTTGAACTAGCCATCCCTAGGGAGTTCAGAGTTATTTGAAGATTGCGCCTTGATAATTCTTCCAAAGCCCTTCCCATGGCAGACTGGTGCTTGGCACTAGTAGTGTTCTTGTTTCCAAACAAGACGGAGGGCGCAGGTGTCCCCTGGAGGAAAGTACCTGAGCGAACCCCAGGAACAGTCGGGTGTTTTGGGGGCTGAGGGGCTGAGTTTGCAGGAATATGAAGTCGGTGGATTCGCAGGAATATGAAGTCAGGTGGGGTTTTCCAAAAAGGAAAATTGGGGGTATTAGACCCCTGTTGTCTCACTCGAAGCACATGCTATGGGTTGATTCGTGATGTTAAGGTATTCGAATATATGTAAAATCTGACACCGTGCACTGAATTTCATGGGTCACTGTGTCACATCATATGGCCATATGTGACACTGAACTGTCATTGCTTGGGTCCGTTTAGGCGAAGGTGTAAATGGTTGGCATTTTCAGGCTGGTCAGGTTTTCTCTTAGGGTGCCCATATGCGACACTAAACTGTGACTGCTTGGGCCCGGGCAACCAAGGTGATCCAGGCGGCCCGGTTGGCAACACATGTTTTGGGGTTAATTTGTTTTCTTGGTTCTGTGCATCTCTGTCGGTGTCTCGTTTTGTATGCATGCATGAAGTTGTTCAGCTCTGTGCTAGGTACCCGAGGGCAACTACCCTCAACTTGAAAGGAGCAACCTGTGCGGACAACGAACATTTTGTGAGAGATTCCATTCGAACGCTCACGTACGGTCTGAGAAACCCAGCTCTCTTGTGTCCTTACGTGATGTTGCAGTTTTCTGTCTTGTGCTTGCAGATCCTAAATGTGCCTGTGCAATGGCTGTCATGTGGCAAACTAGAATGATAATAAGTCCGTTTGTCATGGTGATTATCTTCCTCTTTTTTATTCCATTGTGATGGCTGTCGTGCAATTCATTAGAATGGCATTAACTCCATTAGTCCCCTGGCCGTCTCTCTGCTTACCCATACTTCTTGCTGAAGTGCATGCTCCCTATCTTGTGGAATACTTGTTCCATGTGTCCCTCTATGTGTGCTCTTATGGAAATGTATCCTGGTGATTAGGCCAAAAGAAGGATGGGTAAGCAGAGGAGTGTGGAATGTGGGCGGAAGTCGTTAATGTGAATCACTCGATTTTTACCGTGGAAAAGGGCTGATTGTGTCAGATGTATGGGTAGACAGGCAAGTGTATGTAGTGTGTTGTCACTAAGCTGCTGAATGATGAGGCGATGTTCGGTTGGTTGGGGGAAGTGACTACGGCATTGCGCTGATGCATTCCAGGTGTTCAGTTTGGAAGTACATTGGCTGCATTCAGTTCATATAAACCATATGTGCCAGTGGGGAAGGGAATGTTTCAGTGGGGTAGGCTCAGCTATGGAGGTCAGTTTGGGACAGGAAGGGAAGTTCTGTTCGGTCAGCTTTCGGTCTTTTTGAACTTCTTTTTTTCCCTTTACAGCTTCTTGAAATCGTAGTTCCTTTGGATGGTGTAGAATGTGAGGAGGCAGGTTACGGGCCAGAAATGTCGCTGGTGTCAGCAAATTTGGAGGCCATGGCCTTGCCAGGTCCTCTCTACCATGCGGTCATGAGAGAGAGAGAGAGAGAGAGAGAGAGAGAGAGAGAGAGAGTTGCTGTGCGTGTCGGATAAAATGGACATAAAGGGGGGGGCTGCAAAGAGGACAAACTGGGCGATAGCGAGATGATACGGTGCTGTCGTACATAACCCAGAACGGGCCAAAATGAATGGTGGCCGGGGGCTGCACTGGAGGGGGGAAGATGGACGAGGGCACTGTGTTTGCTGCTCAAGTTTTGCCATTTGTGCAGGCTTCTCTCACCATCAAGTTTTTCTTTCTTCTGTTCCCTGAACCAGATGAATGAATTACCTGGGATTGCCTGGGAAACTCCTGAATTACCTGGGTCTTGTCAGTTGGACAATAATATGTCAACGCCATTGCCCTTTCAAAAAAGTGAAAAAAGCAAACTGGACGCTGACATCTCTTGGCAATGAAAGGCAAACGTTGTCTCCAATGTCAATACAATGACAATGTAGTAGCCCTATTGTGATTTGTCGGGCTTACACTTCTCTCTTCTCCTACACTCTACTACCCTCTCTCTCTCTTAACGAAGAATGCGAAATTGAATGGTTTCAATGTGCCCTTGTTTTTTGTTTTTTATCCCTTGTTTTGCATAGTGCGCTCTTTTAGTTCATAGTTATGTGACAATGAATGTACCCTCTCTGCCTACGGTTTACCGGGCAGCTCTGTTTGATGATATCGTTTGTTGTCCTCTTCTTCCTCTCTGCCTACGGTTTACTGGGCAGCTCTGTCTGACGATGTATATACCATCAAGTTGACTTGTGGATGAAGTTTAGGCAATTTGTTGTGGAATTGGTGGAGATCTTCTCGGTTGGCTATCTGGTGGGGGCAGTCTCCACTCTTGATTGTCTCTGATTAAGGGTTGCGAGTGCTGAGATGGAACATGATAAGATAGCTGATACCAGACTACCCTTAACGCGTGTTTGTCAATTATGCATGTTCTCTCTTTGAACAGGCACTTGGAGACTCTTGTGCTTGGCAAGGGCATATTCAGCGAATCCTTGTTTTGGCACATAAGCACGGAATGCCCGTCACTGAAACGGTTGAGCATAACGGAGGCTGTTCTGGGAAGCACGCACGCACAGGAGATTCTAGTCCGGCATGACAGCTTGCAAGAGCTTCAGATTGTCAAGTGCAGAGTAATAAGGATAGCAGTCAGGTGTGCTTCGGAACTGTGAAGGTCTTTGCTCTTTATTACTTTTCTGGTCTGTGAAGGGTACCTGGAGAAAACAAATGGTGGCTGTTGGGTCTTTGAATCCCGTCTATGTTTTATGGCTGCCCCTGTTACCAACATGTTCACCTGGTTGAAGGGTGTTCTTGATTTTTTTCTCCCTCCTTTTTTTTTCCATCTTTGACATTGCCTTTCTATATGATTGCTACTGTCGGTATTGACCTGGTTGAAGGGTTTCTCAGCGCTCGTTTTAGGGCTGCTTTTGTGGTGTACCCACTGATCACGGCCCTGAATTGAACCCACCAGGCCACCATGTTTGCCCATTGTGCGTATCCATCGGAGGGACTTGTTTTATAACCTCCCATTTCACCTCCGACTCTCCCCCCACGCCTTCCCCGTGCCCCTTTTGTGGTGGCCCGTGCGTTTTGCAAACGATGGCTTGCCTTCCACAAATTCCATGGCCGTTGCTATGATTGCTGGTATTTCGTGCCCATGCTTGTACGTCGTGGTCATCGCCAAATGATTGTCCGTGGGTCTGTTTGAGCGAACTTTCTACCTCTACCTGCAAAATGGTCGTTCTGGTTGGCAATGAACCAGATTTCCTGCTGGCCGTGGTATGGATGGTATTTCCATTAGCCTTGGATGTATAAACTGATTGACATACCAGTTCAACGTGCAGTCGTCGGAAAAGAAGGTAAAAAAACAGAGATCACTTCTGCCCGAGTGATGTTCGAAGAAGTTGAAGGTGTGGACTGGCAGATGCTGCCCCACTGCTGCCGGCTGCAAGATGATGGGTGGCGCTCGGGAGGTGTAACCAGGACACTTGATGATCAGGTCGAAAGCACTGCTTGATGTGCATCTAGAAGCAAATATCGACTCTTATACCAGCAGTACCTAGCGGTTGTTAAGGCCCGTGGCTCAGCCTACCGGTATCCCGAACCTTGCCGAGCCTCGAGCTACCGGTAGGTACACATCGGAAGAAAAAAAGAAGACAAAAAAAAAGAATTCGACATTCTTCTGCGAAAAAAAAAAGAAATTGAAAAAGAAAGATATCTGTTTGCACTTTCCATCTTTGGGTCGCGTGGAGGGAGAGAGAGAGAGAGACGGGATAGTGCTTGGATGTGCAAATAGCGAATGAATCTTCCCTCCTTGTCGGGGAAGATTCGTTCTCATTTTGCACATTTGTCTGAGGGCCCACGCCTTGGAAAAGGGGGGGGGAGAGGTCGAGAGAGAGACGGGATAGTGCACGAATGTGCAAATAGCGAATGTATCTTCCCTCCTTGTCGGGGAAGATTTGTTCTCATTTTGCACGTTTGTCTGAGGGCCCGCGCCTTGGAAAAGGGAGAGAGAGAGAGAGAGAGGCGGCGCGTTCGACGCGGTCAGCCGTGCAATGCGCCGGCTCTCTCTCTCTCTCTCTCTGTGCCTTCATGGCTGGGCAGTCCTCAGAAGAAAAAAAAAACGCGAATGAATCATGCCGCCTTGTAGCGGAAGATTCATACCCATTTTTCACAGTAGTCGAGCTAGCAAACGCGCTAGAGAGAGAGAGAGAGAGTGTGTGTGTTCGACGCGGCCAGCCAATGCGCCGTCTCTCTCTCTCTGCCTTCATGGCGGGGAAGTCGACTGAGGGACGCGAATGAATCATGCGGCCTTGTAGCGGAAGATTCATTCCAACCAAGAGAGAGAGAGAGAGAGAGAGAGAGAGAGAGAACCCTTCCTGCGCCCTTGAATTTTGTTGTTTCCTTTTCTTTTTTCTTTTCTTGTTTTTTGAAGTGGTATCTCGTTTTTTTTTTTTTTTTTTTTGGTTATTTTATTTTCAAAAGAAAAAGAGCTCCTACCGGTCCTCCAACTCCCCGACCCCCGAAAGTTGCGGCGCGTTAATGGGCACGGATTTTTTTTATAGCTGGGCGAGGTACTGGTGGTTTACTTGAGTCTTGGATCGTTCAGGTCAGTTCTGGGGGGACCTTTGCTCTCGTTTTCCCCTCCCAAGCGTGCACCTGATGCTGTGGTTTTCGAGGCTGAAATGATGCCAGAGAGCTGCTCCTCGGGGTGAGCCGTCTTTGAAATAGATGCATTAGGCATGGGCTGATTTGAATTTGTTCTTAAGCAGTGGTGTTATGAACTTGGTTGTTTGACGATTGATTGCCACTCATACACAGAAGTACTCACACACGCCCATACATGCATGAGACACAGGGGAGGAAGAGACAGAGTTCACCTGCACATAGACCAGAGAGAAACAGTGGAATAGCAACCATTTACTGATGGGGAGAATACACACAGTGTTCTCTCTCTCTGATAAACTCCCAACAACCAATCACAGGATGACACTTCGAAGATCACAATTGGAAAGTAACC